AAAACAGATCAAATAAAAGGTTGATTGTGTATCCACATGTCATTTCGGCTATAACGATGATTCTTCCTATTCACATGAGATTTGAAATGAAGAAATAGTTGATACACACCCGTGTCCCACGTCCCTCATAAAAAGAATACAACCAGTTGAATGTGGACTGTGTGTATTAATGGTCGATGGAATTCATTCTTCATTCTTTACGGTATAAAAATGAATTATAGACCAACGATGCGCATGCATAGCAGTTACACCATATCAAAGTCCTGACGTGCTCTGGTAGTCTCTGATACAGACCTGGTCTGTCAAAAGACCCTGAAGCAAATATATCCAAGAAATCCCACGCAAGTTTAGAAAATGTGGCAAGTCTAGATTTCCACAGCTTCAGAAAATGAAGAAAGTCTCAGGGCTCCTTTTTATTATATTTTTGGGTTTTTTTTCACTATGAGCCTTTTTTCTGTAAAATATGTTCATTTCAGAGACCCGTTGTTTGTCTAATGCAGACCATGAAATAAAGATATTCTTTACAGCCATTGCAAATCTAGAATATTTGGCAAGTCTACATTCCTGCCGTTGGTAAATGAAGAGAGTCCCTGGGCTTGATTCAGATGTATTTTATTAAGACAACTGTTCAGAGACTAAATGTAAGTCTAGTGTACTGGGAAACAGATCTGCCTGTCTAATGTGAAGTTCATGTAACGTTTATCCAGAAAACCGATGCTCTGTCCAAAGAAGTCTTTACTGCGAATGTGTTTCTTATTCCTGATCATTCAAAATTGGAACCAATGTCTGTTTCGCACCAGCTTGCAGACATTCCGTTTCGCAGTGACACCAAGGCAAGCCAACCCAGTTACGAAACGTTCAGTCACATGATACATTCAACAGCTTCTCTTCTTTAATCAGCTACAAAACCTTTGCCATGTGGTTTCCATTAGAGACCTGTAGTTTTAAATTGAGCATTATCAGATTAACCAGTGCCGACTGGGGCAACACCAGCGTTGGCCTGTCACGGAGTGTCAGTCGCCACCTCTACACGTGCAGCACGTGCAATACGCGCCATATTTACATAATCCCCTTAATGCACGCTATCGCATGTAGGAGGACAGTGTAAGGCGTAATTAGCAGTTAGTGAAGCGACCTTAAGGGTAAACGAGGGCGTAACGGAGATACACCGTACGTAATTACCATGAAAACCTTCACACTAAACCGTCACTTATCGTCCCAACTGCCTCTGTTGTCATCAGATAAGGCCGCCAGGGGGCGCCCTGTCATTAAAATTCGCGCAATCCCCGATTACTTAGTTACTGGCCCAGCAGCCAAGTTGAAACAAGGATGAAATTCAATGTCCTGCATTATGAGCATTATACGATTCAGGGGAAACTGGTTCAAATCGTATAAAAACCTGCCGTGAGATTCGACTTCACCCTCGACGTAAGGTGTTGCTGATGTTCCGGCCAAACATTGAACTGCGGCGAGGCAGCCGAACCACGGCCATCACTGGGTTCGATTCCCGATTCGATACAGGCTCAAAAAAAGATTACCCTAAAGAGTCGTGAAACCTAAGTCACGGTTAGGGTTGTCCTGGCAAACATTACAAGAATATTGATGTGGGGTCCGGTCTTCAGAACCCAGAATCAAGACAAATTGAGAACAGATCTTAAGAACCTTGAACCTAATACCTAGAACACCCGATGACTGATTGTGATAGCGAAGAACACAGACTTTACGGAACATGGAAACTAGAACACCACAGTATAGGTCGCGAGAACCAAGAACACCAGAGAACAGCTCTGTGGAACCTGGAAGACCTTAGGACAGATCTTGACAACATGGAGCCTAGAACACCCGATCTTGAGAACATGGAACCTAGAGCACCTGATCTTAAGAACCTAGAACCTAGAACACCCGATCATGAGAACCTAAAACCTAGAACACCCGATCATGAGTACCTAAAACCTAGAACACCCGATCATGAGAACCTACAACCTAGAACCAATCTTGAGAACATACAATGATACTAATGCCACTATCTGTATTATTCCATTATATGTCAAGACGTCTGGGCCAGGCCAGGCAGTGTTTGGTGGCGTGGTCAACGATAGCCTAATGACAGTCCGTCAGGTGACACGATGTAACCACCCGATCCGCAGTTCAGTCGGATGTTGACAGGGGAACCAATATGTACCTATTCTGGTCGATTCCCTGTGGTGTCACTGAGACAGAGTACACCACCAAGACACATCCACTCAATTGCTGCCCGATCCGACCCCCTCTGTCTGGCCTGGACAACCCAGCACCCCTTGTTCACTGCCCCCGGCCCGAATGTCAAGTTCTGGCTAAAGAAAACACAAGTGGTAATTACAAAAACACGGAATCTCGACGGGTCAATAAAAACGAGCAATGGTTTTCTGAGGGTTTGGTGCGGTTAGTTGGCTACTAAATGTTGTGTGGAGATTTCAATGTGAGGCAGATGTTTCCCTCAATGCATTATTTACAATCTACACATTCTTCAAAGGCTAACGTGGCATGAAGAATTGTAAGAATTAATCTTTATGATAAAATAGGCCGTTGTCCTCTATTAAAACAAGAACGATCTTTGAAGACTATACGTTACACGTGACATCACTTTTGTCAGCACTAATTACAATGATTGGATGAGCGCCCCCTACCGGGCGATTTCCTCTCCACGTCTGTTCCAAAAACATTGAACCGCCAATTACCATTCTGGGACAAACATACTATCACCGGACTCAGCGATAAACTCCCACTTTGAAAACCATACTTAAACTTTGATAGTCTCGTGCAGAAGAGCACGGGGATATACGTACACCATGTATAGTAGATAACCCTTTTGATGTCTCTCCCTAAACATATGTCCGCCAGAGGATGTGGATACACACGGCTGAAGTTATCCTTGTTAAGTCGGGGAGATACGCTTTGACATGAAAGAGGCATCTGTTTATGGTTTCTACGAAAATATATTATGTGATATAATGGCTAGTTTTAGTAGTACATCTCGGGCTCTTGGTTCAGGGTTTATAGCAGACATTACTGCCAGATATACCGGAATCTTGTTACCTACTGATGGATTGATGAAGGTTCGAGCAAGAAACAGATTTGGTAGAGTGATTCCCGTCCGTCTCTGTTCACCAAAAGGTGTTTTGTACTTTGTAAAGAATTATTTGAATTGATTCGTCCAATACTATACTTCGTTTTGTGATAGTTCCCGTAAGTCCACCTGTCACGACAGGTCCACGCCCATGGGTGTTGCTGGTGGTGGGGTCAAGGTCACGTCATGATATAATCTTACATACATACGCACTGATACATCTTATCGAAGAATACACGGTAACTACCTATACCTCGTAATTACACGGGAGCATTACACCGCCTACAGCGTTTTACATTTAGATCTATACATATAATTTCAGAGTGATAAAACTATTCAAAATACTGGATGGCAAGAGGCCTGACTTCGGCTTTTCCCTTTTGCGGAGCAACTTTCCCCTTTTGTCGAGCAACTTTTCCAATTTATGTAGAGCATCATTACAGCAGGTCCAGTTTGTGATGGTTAAATTTCCCAACTATTGAGGTACTATGGAGAAGAGTCGTACTATAGGTTTCACAAAGGTCGTACGACTCTTGTTTGGTCATAGCTACAAGGCCCCAGTAAAGCTCTCAAAACGGGTTTTGGTGAATATGTCAAGGAATTTTCCAAATTTGACAAATTCATTGACAAAGATTATGTCTGATACAATTCCGTATATTGAGCTGTACCATGCATTCCCATACATTCCCGTGTTATTTGTTGTGCGATCTGTTGACTTTCCATTGAATTGTGTTTGTGTTTGGTTCAACTGGCGATGCTGGATACGCTCACCGTTTACTACCGCCTGGTATCTGGTTTGATAGGAAATTTGATGGGTAATCATGAACACTTGCTTATGGTATAGATTTATGATATATGATATAGAAGAGGGAGTTCATATGATTAAGGAAAGAGTACTGACGCCTCTTATTTACACGCCCATGTACCACCGCCATTGGTCCCCTGACAATGTGATGCAGTGGAGTAGACAGGCGATTAAAGCAGTGGGTTCGATTTCCAAGTTGGTGCGATGAGTGGAAGCAAGTTCTACTGTCCTTATCCATTTTGATTTGGCTGGATATTGCCAGAAACGGTGTAAAGCATTATTCACTTACACCTTAGATAATAAAACACTGGTAGATCTCACTTCAAAACAAGGACCATACCAGTTGAACACAATACCTTAGTCTCAACTGGATCTAACCAGCAATGGAGTGGTACCTGAAGATAGCTGTATGTCGTGACGATGTCAACTCAGACCACTGTCACCAACTACTAATGAGACATAATGGCTGTCTACGACTGTCGACTTATGTATTTATCAGTGTAAAGAACTCCGATAACTGCCGGGTAGGCATGGTACAACGCATGATAGTCGACCATCAATCACAAGACTCCACAACAGCGTCGGAGGAACCGGACCAGGATCACGTGTCAGACGCGAAGACGTTATCTGGTGTTGTGAGACTACATTTACCATAGGATATAGAAAAGTGGATGTTTATCGTGTTATACTGATGCTGATACTACTACCCTTCTACTATTTACAGTGGGAGATAGACCCGTAGCTGTTTATCGTGTTATACTGTTGTGTAGGTAAGATAGACCACAGACAATGGCGGTTATCTCTATGTATACCCGTTACCCGTGGGCTCCGAGCGCTAACCCTGCACAAACATAGTTTCGATAATACGCTAATCCTGACGACGTAAACATGGATAAGTGAAACGCTCGCTATCGCGTGTAGCGAACAATGCCAGCTGATGTTATCAGGGCGAGCAGCGACAAGTTGTTCCCCTTGTGCAGAATGGGCCGGTCTGTACAGCTCTGCTGGCTGCCTGGCTGGCCTCCACGCGTGGCTGGAGCTGGCGAGGGGCGGGTTGAATCGCCTGCTTGGCCAATCTTAGGCTGGTCTGAAAAGGCCTCAGTTTAGACTCAGCGTTACGGCGAGCAGGTTGTTGGCAGGCAGTGGGAAAGTTTGACAGGTTGTGGGACTCGGATTGTACTGAGCTGTTCCCGTGTTGTGTATAGAGATGTGGTCTTGTATTATGGAGTACCTGCTGGTGTGACATTATGGATATATCGGTACTGTGGCGAGCCTTGACCAGCGGTCATCTGGTCATTACCTGGCTACTCCTCGCCGTCATCACAGGGGGAAGAACGCAGCACACCTGTAATCAGTGCGACTGTACAATCAGGTAAGATCAGATCACCGATGCCAACAGTAACATAGAACCAAAGACCACTGCCTAAAAGGTCACATGATTTCAAAATGAAAGCGACTGAAAATAGTTTATTACTGTCATTTGTATTCAACCACACAGCCCAGTTGTGAAAACAAATCCACTTTATCAAATGAAGATATTTTCTGTTTTTCGTTAAAGTATATTTGTTTGGGTGTTAAAATGACTAGGTTTTATATTGTTATGAGGAACAATATGGCCCAGGTGTCTTCCCCCGTCACACGGAGGGCAGTGTAGTTCTGGCTGCGGATTATGTAGGAATGTTATGTAAGTAATTAAATGCACGAAGTGTGACGATGTAGATGTAGACGGTGTCAGGTGACAAGACGTCAGGGACGCTGGGTCATGTGATTACAGAGGATGGTATCCAACAGAAGATAGAAACCTGAAACCGTCATTTATGAAGAGACATATAAATCAGTGACGGTGGTTGACAGCTCGACCATCCTGTTCCACCATGATACAGTTGAAGCAGCCAGGGACGACGGCCATCTCCGCCACGGCTCGTCATGGCTACGGGGGTACACCTGTGACCTGTCGGTCACACTTTAATTACTCGTGACAATAAACACGATAAATTACACTTCAAACATTGCTTTCACAAAATCATCCCAGCATGCGAGACACAAACCAAATTCAAAATATCTGATTTCCGGAGAGCGTTGTTTGTGAATATTGCGGCTACGCAAACCCCCCTAACGGTTTCCTCTTTATTATCATATGAAAGAGACTACGGTGTGCGAGAGAAACCGTTAATGTATTGAGGCAATATTTGTCCGAGTGACTTTCTGGCCTATTATGAATTCCAAGTCAACAAGCCGATAATCGGTGTATGGAGCTACTTACGCTCTTCCGACACTCGTACAGACCAAGCGTTGTGAGGAGTTGGTAGGATGACACGTCGGACATCCAGGATATGGGATCCGAGATGCTGTCGTCTGCTCGGGTCAATATTGGTGCACGCTCCCCTCCTTCTCTCTCGGCCCCTCCACGGCGTTCCTGGCTGCATTGACGAGCTACAGGTTGTTGGTTCCCCGCACACATCGGTGTTGACGTTGTCTACAACTGCCGGCTTAGCACCGCCGTCCATGTATGTCCTCGCATCGAGCCCAGGTAATCCTGCACACACATGATGGAGATCAACACCGAGGCACGTAACCTTCAAATCTATACACAGACAAACACATCATGCTCAGAAAATATCAAAACCTGTTTTTGCAGTTCCAAACTTTTGGACAACCTTCGCTGGTTTAATACAGCTTTTGCTTGTATAAACACTGAAATAAAGACGGAAAGGAGAGGAAGGTCACTCAAAATGATTTTCAATACAATGAATCACACTTGTACCTGACTGCATGTGTTGATCGGTGCAAAATGCACGAGATGTTAATATAACATTTCCCTCATATTTTAAAGCTTTCTCTGTTTTGAAGCCTCGAGTCTTATAAGTTCAATTGATTCTGAAATTCAAATTCTTTTTGCACTCCTATTCATCTCTTGCTATTGCTAAATAAGACCCAGTTCTAGTATTTATATATTCTCCAATCCTGTAAAGCTAAGTAAAGCAGTATGTGTGTACGGTCTGAGGTTTGCTAGGTATCTATCTCCACAGTGTCTCTGGGACTGTTAAGTGACGAGTTGGCAGCAATGGCGGTTATAACATGCCGAGCTGTTGTAGAATGCAGACACCACGGCAAACACGCGAGACCAATAGAACAATCTCTCCACGGTTAAAGCCGTAATAATGAAGTTAATAGGTTAGCATGTTTGGGTATTTGACAAAGTAGGGGGTTTATAATGGCATCTGTCAGGGCCTATATATCGTGAGGAGTGGTTCATGGCTGTTGGCGATGTCCTGCATTCCGTGGAGGGGTTCATGTCGGTGACATTTTAGGGGTGTTTATTTCACAAGCCTGATATGTTGATCTTAATAGCAAAGCAAATAACATGCAAATGTGAACAGACGGGTTTATGAAAACGTTTTTCTTGAAACTTGTTCACGACGTGACAAATGCGTAGTCGAGTATCGTGAACCCGTCCTCCGACATAACACTTGCTCTGGGTCTAGATTTTCGAAGCTATCTTAGCGCTAAGATAGTCGTAAGTGCCATACATTAACATTAACTTACGACTATCTTAGCGCTAAGAGAACTTCGAAAATCTAGGCCCTGAACAGTTGGGGCGGTTGGTAGAGTGGTTCAAACGTTGGATCGGTAGGCGGACACCAGGATCCGCTTTCCCGCAGGTACTAAGCGTGAAGGCTATATTTGGTACCAGCTGTAGTGATATTGTAGAACCAGTTGTAAACGAGATATAAAGATCTTAGTTGCTCCATGTGGAAATAGGGAGTCGAGTGTATAGGTGGGTTTTATCCTAGAGTTCAGTTCGGGAATTTCGAGTTGAGACGATAACGCGTTACTGTTGTGTAGAATGTCCCACTACAGCTGGACTACAGAGGTATAGCATCCCAGTTGGAGGTGGAGTTTGCTGGAGGAAAGTGGCTGGATCCCGCTAACACACTCCGACACCTCGTCAGTGGGAGCCAGAGTCCACCTAGATGAACACTTGTCTGTGACGAGTGGATGGGAAGCTGTCTCTGAAGACCATGTCTCAGATGGTAGCCTACCGACACAGTTGACTGTAGTGAGAGTGTTGTCTCTAGCAAGTCGCTGTAGGAAGGCTGTAGTCACGTCCCACTCCCCAATAGTACCTCCCTCATTGTCCCCCTCTACAGGTATGTGACCACATTCCCGACAATGTTTGATTTGTAACTCGACTCTCTGTCCTCCTCTCGCCGACCGGCGTTTGTCCCGCCTCCCTCCACACTGAGGGGTATTTCTGTACCCCACCGTCAACCCTATCAGTCGGGGCAAATAACCGAAGGCAAAGTGATGGGGGTCGGGGGTCCCTCCCCATGCCTTCCATCTCTCGGTGACTGTTGTTGTGGGGACATTCTACACCTTCAGGATGGAGCCAGGTAATCACACCTTTCACAGGTTGTTTGTGGCCGGAATTACCTTTCCACTTGACACAATTTGCCCAGGATGGTAGTTGCATCATGACCAAACACCCGGACCGGGCGGTCTTCCTTGTTCTCGCCGACCACAGCAACAACACACTACACAACACGACCGAAGAGATTAATGAGGATTAAAAGAAAATACAATCTGTTTACACGAATCTCAAAAATGTCTTTAATTATCCAATGTCAGTTTAAGTGACCTCTAGATGGAAGTTAACATGTCGGGGTCGCGCCTTTGCAAGGTGTACTGACCCAACAGCGACAACACAACCAAAAGACACTGCGCCTGGATTCAAATTCATGTGCGCCCTTGTCCCATAAACCGCCATGAAGTGAACCAATAGGAAAGTGATATCTTTATGCATATGCTTCTTAATCAAGACATATGAAACCTTGGGTAATCTGACCGTTTATATTGTTAACCAAATATGACTACAGTCAGTTATGAGCCGAGTAAATCTCGTTGAGATGGCGAGTGACTCAAGTCCCAGGTATGTGCTCAAGTCCCAGGTATGTGCTTTCTTAACAACCATCTCTTTGAATAAACCCGGAGATGGTAGCGATTACTCAGCTCGTCATGCATGCGATAGTGTAAGTTTAAACCGCTGTAACATAGACGTATAATGCAGTGTAGGGTTCCCCATGGAGATAGAAGATAGTCAGGTCTTGATATAGGTTTGTGTTGTCCATTCCCAGTCAGCAAAAGGTCTAAAAAACCGACGTCACGCTAACGGCTCTGTAGTTACGGTCGTAGCAATCTTCTGGCGTGTGTAATGACGTGCCGCACGGAAACCGGCTCAAATACCCTAATTAAAGCGGTCCATAATGCGTGCTTGCTTGATATTAGGCCGTGTTTGGGTGCCATGCATCCAACCTGGGCTGGTTCGGATGTGATTAGCCTATCACCTCTATGATTAGTTCCTCCAGGACGAGGATTGTTCCGGGTCTCGGATGGCTTTATTGCAGGGTCACTTTTCTGACTGTAGGAGGGAGGTTCTTTTGACGAGGGGTACAAATAGTCGCCGCGTTCCTACTCTGCCGGGCTGCACTGTTATGCAAGTTTGAAATTGAGCCAATTGTAAATAAGATAAGATGGCATGTTTCCGCAATCATCAACAGCATGCGAATAGAAAATGCCAACACAAATATTACCTGTAATTGAAAGAAGGTGTAACTGCTATGCCACCGACATTGTTAGACTTTCCCCGTATGCAACCTTGGGCTTCGTTCGGGAAATACGACTAATTGCACAAAGCCATGTTCTCTTAAACACATATAAAGTTACTGACTTTTACTTCGATAATAAAACATAGATGTTCGCTGGGTATTCAAATACAGTTCTGATAGCCGTGATGTTCCCTGATACCTAAAATAAACGTATTAGTGGAATATGGGGGATACTCTTTTCATCCGACCCTTGTAAAATGGCGATATCATTGGTTCCGAAATAGAGGTATCACTGGTTTTGAAGGCAGGGGTATCAAAGGTCTTTGAGTGTAGGTACCAGAGGGTGTTCAAATGATGATATCAGAGGTCTAAGACTTGACGTACGAGGGTCTTGAAGTGAGGTCAGCAGATTACCAGCTGTGGACAATACAGGACATACCAAAGGTGTAGGTACAAGGCCAACGGAAGTCTTGTAACGGGTGTTTGTGTATCGAGGTGTTACAAGGGTGCTTGTCTGGTTGATTTCGCCCTGAGACTGTTGAAAATTGCTGGCTCGGGCCTATTTCCTCCATTGAACGCGGTATCACTTGGTTCCACATACGACGACCTTCTCTACTCTACAAGGCGTTGTTTACAGCCGCTGACAACTTGTACGTCAGCCAAGCTTGTCGGCCGCCACGAACACCCCTATTTAAGGTGTCGTCTGCTCCTGGCGACCCTTTCCTAAAGTGGAATGTGGCAGACGACAGATTAGACAAAACCTGTCCCCCTCCTTGGTGGAGAGACCTGCACCTCGACAGTGGATAACCCGCATTACATGTGTAAACAAGATGAATGCATAACCGTGGCCTGGCCTTGTAGCCATGACAAACGGTGAATGTATTAATAATAAACAGAAAATAGCTGAGCCAAGGTATTAACTGTGGTATGCAAATTGGGCCGGTCGGGAGATTTCAAGCAATATATATGCCACTTAGATTGAAATATTGCAAATAATGTTCATATTTTACCTTTCTATATTTGATTTATAGACCATGGACTTAACAGCTTGACCTCATTTCTTTCTGTCCTCTGTTTTCTCTCTTTCACGTCTATACATTTGTCCTGCCTCGGCTCATATAGACAACCTATAAAAGTGACAGAAGTCATGTGCTGTATTGCCCACAGTAGACCTATCGCTGTGGGGACGTCTGTAGTCGTCAAATGTACTGTAAATCGACCTGAAGCGGTATCTTACGCTTGATATATCGTGAGGTATAAAGAGCTTACAACTACAATACTGTGTCGGGTAATGAATATATGGAGTTTTTGTGTACAGATTCACGCAGTCAACAGTATTACAGCTATATCACCACCTAATGTAGTTGACGAGTCTGATACATGCAAAGCAATGGTTAGTATATACCCGTGAAGGTCTGGGTTAGAATTGGTCTTCAGTAACCCATGCTTGTCGTAAAAGGCGACTAACGGAATCGAGTGGTCAGCATTGTTTGACACATGTCATGGTATCCCAAGTGCGTAGATCGATGCTCATGCTGTTGATCACTGGATTGTCTGGTCCAGATTCGATTACTTACAGACAGCCGCCATATAGCTGGGATATTGCTGAGTGCCGCGTAAAGCTAAACTCACTCACTCACTCACTTGTGTGGAGCTCCAGATGTCCATGCCTAATACACAGGAGCATATCCGATCATTCTGGTCACACCAGATCCTCGCTTTGCACCAAGTTATTTACTGTATTTAATCATGAGAAATGTTCCAAGGCAGATGACATCTTTAATGTATTTCCTCTTGAGTATTGAAGCATATTGTTATACATCTGTTTTTGTTTTCCAGTGACCCGGACAATGGAGAAAAGGCCATCATTAACGTCAAGCCAAAATGTCTTGAAGGTCAAATCACGTGGTTAAGTTCATACGGTGCAATCAGGTTGGAGTTGAATCCGCAACATGCCGGGGAGTACAGATATTGTGTTCGTGTACAAAGTGAAAATATCAAAACTATAGTATCACAGGAAGTGCTGTCGAGGACACATGGGAATTATAAATTAAAAATTGTGAACGATGTGGAAGTTCGGTTATCTCCCCTTTTCACAACTAGAGGGCGCGGCAGGGAATTTTGTATTTCCGGTTCCGATCCAATCCATTTGTACATGGAGACTGAACGTAGCGCCGAAGACACGGGCGTGGCCAGGGTGAAAGTTTTCTATGACATGGAGAAGACGTCGAGTAGTCTCCGTTACAGTCCCATGGAAGGTGAGATTTGTTCTGAATGTAGTGTCAATGTGTTCTCAGTGTAAGTTCCATCTCTGCTACTGAAGTTGGCATCCGTGAACAAGCCATGCTTGTCGTAAGAGACGACTAACGGGATCGGGTGGTCAGGCTCGATGACTTGGTTGACACATGTCACCGTATCCTGATTGCGTAGATCGATGCTCATGATGTCAATCACTGGATTGTCTGGTCCAGAATCGATTATTTACAGACCGCCGTCATTTAGCTGGAATTTGCTGAATGCAACATGAATGCTAAAAAACAACAACCAACCAACCAACAACTAAACAACAGTTAGCCCGGGGTCCCCTCCCAGCATGTGTACGATCAGTGATGTTCATTACCCGGATATTGCTAAAAGCGGTATGGGCCCACCACCTCACTCACTCTGACTGTTATTACGGCATTAAGTCTCAGTAAATATACCCATCATAAAACGTATGGACGCCACAGCGACAGTCCATCTAATTTCAGAAGGGTCGTCCTGACACGACTGGTGAGTTGACTCGATGACGTAACAGGTGAATAACGCCTAACGTGGCACAGGAAGCGACCACGGTGCCGTGTGTACAAAACACGTCATCTGTCTGGTAAAACCAGAACACCGCAAAGTATTCCCTCTCCAGTAGCGAAACTAGACCGAAACACATAACAAAGGAAATCTGTTTTCGTTGTGCAGCATCTTTATAAGAACATTGTTAGGTCGCACTTTTAACAAAGTTTATCTTCACTTATAAATGGAAACGAAAACACACCCCTGAGTGCCGTTAAATAATATCAACGTGCTTGCTATTTTATAAAGATTTATTAAACGTTAATTGTGAAAGGTTTCAAGATCTTAAATTTTTCCAAAAACTACCAGTGTTAGATTGAGAAAAGAAATATTACAAGCACCTCTGAGGGGCAATACCTATTGTTGTGAAAGCAGGTGTGTCCACAAAGGGCGAAGTATCATCGATTGTGTTTTCTTCCAGCAGTTTGATAACACCCTTAGAAAACAAGGTACTTCATACTAAAGTATTTCCATAAAGCCTGATTCACACTGAAGAGTCACGAAAAAAACATTCGTTTTAGAAGAAATAAAATTCGCATAAGATATTCCCCTTCCATGTGGTTACCCGGAAACATATCAACTTTCCCCAACGTAGGGGACGCGGTATTGTAACAGAGGAGAAACCCATGGCTGATAAATCCTGATCAGTTGCAGAGAGAAACATATCCTGTCACTGTAGACGGTTAAATCTCACTTGTCGCCCGACTAACTGGTTTTCAAGTCACTCCGGGTGCAATGTACTCTTTTGTTGCCGTGAGCTGGCTGAGGTAGAATTAATCAACCGGTACACCTCAGAATAAACACTTAACTTGGAACCTAGAGAGATGGCCTTACACAGTTTAGTGAGTGAGTATGGTTTTACGCCGGTTTAAGCAGTAAAACTGCAGGAGAAATGGCTTAAAATGGGTTTCAGTCATTGTACCCATGTTGGGAATCGAACCCGGGCCTTTGTGGACGAGCTTTAACCCCCAAACCGCCCTTTACACATTTTAGAAGATGAACGTCCGAGGGTAACTATTCCAGAATACTTGTCCATACACATCTTTACATGAAGAACAATATGGTGTAAATAAGAATTCTCGTCTCTTGCATATCACAGACCGGAAATTTAGACCCTGGGTCTCTTGCAAACACTAAAAATATAAAAATGTAGTTCTGAGTATAGAGATAATAAGAGATATATAAGATACAACCGATAGCAGGAAGTATTAACACTTTCAAATGTAATAACCGTTAACTACCATCCAGGCCGTGTGGCTGGAATGCTATGAAAAAAGCATTGCCGTACCCACTGAATACCTTTTTTGTCAAACACCCACCCTGTACATCCGACCCCACCCCCTCCTTGGATCTGATGATAGAAAGAGCCTGGGAACCTGTGCTGTATAAAGACCCTCACTCCACACTCCTCCAATACACACTGTCCTAGTCATTCAGCCCTTCACCCAGCCGGAGATATAGAGCCATGAGGAATGCAGCCTTTTTCAACCGCACGTGTTTGATCTGTAGAAATATTTGAAATGATATTGCGAGTTATTCGTAATTGAATCGGGCTATGGAGAAATGTTTGAAAGCAGCATCTTGACATCCAGCAGTTTAAGCCGCTGTGTTGGGACTTGTTGGCCTAGCTGTCAAACCCCTCAACACTGGACCTGCGAGAGAGCTTGCTTTGAATATATTGATAGTGGGGTTATTATGTTTTTTAAATGATAATTTTATTACCCTGCATTTGCTTGTTTACAGAGTGCCGTCCTTGTACTGATAGAGAACTGTTGCGGGCCTACTGTACCAGTGATTTCGGTGAGTTGTCAAGCTATAACCAGTCGTGAATCATCGCTGAGTTTTTACGTAATGTAATGTTAGGTGCACCTATCGCAGAGTTAGTACCCACGCTCGTCACCTCTCAGCTGGAAGCCAGCGGGTTATCTTATGGCATGCCTGCTGGATTGTTTCATTAGGGACGAAAGCATGAGGTTTTTTTCGTATCACTCACTCACTCACTCACTCACACGGTGATTGTTGTAGGAATCGCCTAACGGGAACGGGTGATCAAACTCGCTTAGTTGGTTGTTGCATGTCGTATATCAGCTGAGTATAACGATGCTCATGATTTCAATCACTGGAAAGTCTAGTCCAGACTCGATTATTTACATAGCGATGTGATATTGCTGGAAAATTGTTAAGTCCGGCGTAAAACAGCAAACAAAAGCAAAACAAAGTTGACTGAATACCGACGTCAACATAGACGTGCATCTAGCTACTTCCCAGCATGCACAACTCTGATGGAGAGGTAGTAAAGTGAATGAACAATGCATACAGCCTCAATCACACACCCCGATCTGTCGGAACACTTTGTTCATCAGTCCACGACTGCCAACTTCCTGTCGGTAGCCATCGCCAACACATAGCGCCGCCCTAGCTGGCAATCCGACACCCTTTTGGACCTCGCTCTCGGGTACGCAGGGCTATAAATCGTATTTGGCATAACAGTTTCAACCTGAGACATTAACTTTGTAACAGAAGTAGATGGTACCCCCCACCCTCTTGCCGCTCGATACTGCTACCCCACACGGATTCACGTGACTCTGCATTAGAAATCGATCTGCCGTAATGCCGACTGCGCGTGATGTAGGTCTTAATTCTTAACTTTCTATAGCTAAGTGAATACACCACCGCAAATTCACATGTCATTGTCTAATTCACAACGGCCTGTCATTGTTGCCACCCCTGGCTGTTAACGTGGTTTGTTCCGCCCGTGTAGGTACTGTGATTGTTACAGATAAAACTGCCTTTCCATACTTGGCTATAGAGTTTAGCACGAAACGACCCGACACAGCCCATAGCATGCATCATGCATCCGTGTTGCTGTGAGTCATCATTCCTGAAGACAACCATCAGGCTGTATGGGCGAAACTATGTACAGCGACGTGCACCCACACAATTATACAGATAATTTTATGTCTTGATCCGTGTGTGTATTTCGAATCCTTTTGTGCCTGTTCAACAATCAAGTGTAATGACGGCTTACCCGATGCAGCTATTATGTAGGGGAATTTGTCATTATGGCTTAAGTGTATGTTTTGATCGTTGTAGGACATGTGTCGTATGTATGTATTATATATCATTAAAATATATATGTTGTATTTCAGTTGCAGTCGGCAGCATGGATGACGTCAACCATGACGACGTGGAAGAAACCTCCGTCATCCGGGTGTCTGTGACTCGGTTGATTTCGCAGAAGGAAGCCATTTTCAAAAAGGCAGAAAATGGATGGTCCCGTCCCCACGAGCTGAAGGGCGGGATTCACGCCCCGCACCGGTGTGGCATCAGGCACGGGGAGGGGCAGTTCTTGTTCACAGGCCGCGTCCGTCTGGGGCGACCAGTCTTACAGTGTGCCCCCCGTTATGAACAGTGGAAGAGTGTTTTCGAGATGGCTCTCCTCAATGATGAACTTGAATGTTCATACGGTTCTTGATCCTAGAGGGGACTTCATCTAATTATGTGCCATATCCACACGAGACTGTTTACTTACAGCGACCTAACGTGACCCAAACAATGGATCCATCGCGTGTGCCCATGCGCCACGTGAGTTGTGAGACGAAACTGTCTATGTGAATCTGTGATAAACTGTTTTAACTCTCCAAACTTGGAACCGGAAGTGCATAATGTCTACTGTGCGTGGCCTGATCACGTGACGGACTCCATGATTCTGTACATAATGTGCTCTCTCAACCTGTGATAGCCTATTGTTCGTACACTGAACCCTCAACAGGATCTTGACCAGTGAAAAATGGCGGCAGTTTCAAACTGTGACTGTGTTTAAAGATGGCGACCGGATGGCATATAAACAGACAGTTTGGGGCGGGTCCATTACAATATGATCTCATCTGTGCTAGTCTCTGTAGAATCGTTATTGTCATAATGTCATTCCTGCTTTGAGAGTGCAGCAAACAGATTCGACCAAACCAAATGTATATAGAACAGAGATCTGAGTTGTTCATACAAAGTCGTGTATTTATGAACTATATACTGTAGCTGTTTGCTTCAGAGACAAAACTAACTTTCGGCGCATTCTGTTGGTGACACAATGCATTCATTGTGCATACCTTTCGGAAGAAGAGACAGCCGAACATTCAAGACATATTCATGCTCTCATTTAAATTCTTTACACTGCCGAACATTCTATCCACATTCCTTTATCTCTTGGGACCATCTGGTTTCCGGTTCAACTGAAAAGTTTCAGAAATGTCCATCTTCGAAGTTTCCGTCCCCTTCAACCCAAAGTAAAACCTTGTTAAACCAAACTTCATATCAGATAGTTCCAAGCACATATCACACCCCACTCATGTTCCCCCAGTTGGTTTTATGGCTGCAATGTTGTCGAGGGGCCGTTATGCAGTCGCTGGAAAACATCAACCTTCTTCAGTCCACATCACTACAACCATAACTCCACCCACATGCAACCCATCCTCATTCAGCATTGCAACATCAACAACAGCACCCCTCAAGCTATATGATGACGACATCAATCTGAAACAGCATCATCTACATGTATATCATCACTAGACAGAACTGCAACATACTCCATGTTGCTCCTATACCCATACCGCTCCATCCACATGAGAACGAGATATTCACACATTCCTTGCTTCTGCTTAAATAACCTTCACGTTCACAAGCATTTGCTGAAAATGCAACTGTTCAGATGTTTCCGGAAACTTTAATAGCTTTTAACAATTTTATGACTGAAATTGGTAATTAAATAGTTATGTCCTCTGCCCAGCCAAGAGCTGTTTGTGCTGAGCTGATTCTAAATTGGATATACACGTATGTAACAAACTCATACGCGTTCATTCAGTCGCTCGGGATCGGGTGGTCAGACTCGCTGACTTGGTTGACACGTCATCAGTTCCCAATTACGCATGCTGTTGATCACTGGATTGTCTGGTCCAGACTATTATTTACAGACCGCCGCCATATAGCTGGAATATTGCTGGGTGCGGCGTAAAACTAAACTCACTTTCAGTCGCATCCAGCTTTACAAACATAATTTTCGCGTACTGACAGTGGTAAACCTTTCCATTACTGCGGATTTACTATATTCATTAATATGTAAACAGATATGCAGATACGACATCCGATGGTCAAAGGGTTTCTGTATACTTTTAAAACGACCATAACCGTTCGCAGAAACTTCATACTTAATCATACGCTAGCTCCGTACAGCGTTTGCCGGACGTGGAGTTCCACAGTTTAGCCCAGCTTTAAAAGCCTCCAGCACATATCACACCTGCCATTTGCTTTATGTACATATTGTTGATACCAAATTGTTACTTGTTGTTGAATCGTTATATTTTGTATAAAATGATGAAATATTAAAAGACTGACTACATACTCAGTTGGGTTGATTGTATGAAAACTTTTGAACCCCCAGTACGGGATACAGAAGATGGATACATGCTATAGATGGATACATGTTACAACGGATGCAGAGGACGAGACACGAGCAATAACACACAACACATGCATTCACATATGCATGTAATAACACAATTCACAATTGTGCCATAGGAACAATAGCATATCAACAACGAGTTGTTTGCCTACTGACATACTGTGTCCTGGTTTTGACGTTTTGGCAAAGTTCCAAATTCTGTGCGCAGCAGACGACAATGTTTGGCGACAGGGTGTGCCTGCAGACACGACACGCGTGGCCACCTGCTACGGCAAATCTACATGTATACAAGTTACATAGACATTTGGCCACGTGGATCACAGAATCAGCTGACAAGCGGAGTGAACAGAGACCCGTTCCACTCTTACTCATTTAAAAATGTCTGTTAACAAAACAAGCTGGAATAATAAACATTGTTTTTTGACGGCATGACTGTTTTGACGAGATATAAATATCCTCAGTTTTCCGCCCAGAGGCACCGACTTGACTGCACGGGATCTCTGTGACATGGCGACAGACCTCGACTGTCGTTGAGATACACATTGTTATAGCTGATATATTCGAGCCCGAAGCGGTATATCATGTTTAAAATCCAACTACGTGACACCAATATATACACAACAGTTGTGAAAGTATATCATGGACCTTTTCTCTTTGAAAGTGATACCCCCAGGCAGAGCTTCCCTATTAACAATGTGTGTGGGGGTATGGGACATATATCTTTATATCCATCAGCGTTGTACTGTGAATGGCAATAGCATACATCTTTATATCCATCAGCGTTGTACTGTGAATGGCAATAGCATACATCTTTATATCCATCAGCGTTGTACTGTACTTTTTTTTTGGGGGGGGGATGTCTCAAGGTAGCTGTGACTGAAGAGTAACTTTGGTATGTGTAAAGGTTGGAAGCAAGTTTATAGGCATAAAACCGCCCGTTAAAGATCGAGTTTGGTCCAAACAAACCAAGGATTGATGTTATGAGCAGCGTTCCACGCCGTCGGGGCGCAATCCATCCAGTCACCAAGCATGACCAACCGGCCCATCAAGATGCCTCTTAAAACACAGATTTCTGGGGACCAGTTCTAACACGAAATCTCTCGATCCTAGATACAACGGAGGAGTATACACTATACCTACTGTATCATAAGGACGGGGTCGGTGGAGTATTGACATGAATTCCGTAAAAATATGTGTAATAGTATAAAAGTGACATTCATTCAATTCAGTTATGAGAAAGTTCAGATGCTTATCGTGAGAATGTGTCCTGTTCTGCTGATACCCCATAGCGTTATGGTGTATAATAAAGATGAAATCTGTCTGTACATGGTTTGCTGAAGACTCGAGAGGCAGTTACTCGTCCACCACGGTCAGAACAAAAGCCCTTTCTGGGAAGACCCTGAATGGAACAGTAGACAGAATGGCTGTCTACATTAAATTATGTCCCATCTACACACCTCAGCGACTCCCCACGGGAGTTAACGTCGTCAGAGAGCAGAAAGGTCCATCTCTCCTCAATAGATGAGGCTAGAGCACCAAGTTCCCAGGCTACCCGATAGCAACACAACAGTGCACCCGATAGCAACACACGATCTTCGCATCCTATTTTCTCTGCGTCTTCAGTAACAAAGACATCTACCCCGGTGGAAACTCCACACATGGCTTGGTTTTGATGTCACATCAGATGAGGATGTTCTCCATTGTGCACTCCTTGTGATTATGGCCCGTGACTAACACGGCTATATCTACACTGGCGCTGTGCGGAGTGTGCAGCTATCACATGCCCATTGCTGGCTATAACTTTGAGCGAAAGGTCATGCTATCTTCAGGTGGTCTATTTTTGTCTCTTCATTGTCCATTCATGTCAATAATATACTACCCAAAACAAGTTAAGGACGATCTGATTCGCCACACTAGTATACTGTTCGCACCTGTCTATTACCTTGTGGAAACATGATAATGCCATATCTTCTTACATAGGTAGAGCGGTTTTCGTAGCCTGGTTGTTTTCGTAGTCATCGCTCGCCAGGTTGAAGGCCGGAGTTCGATTCCTCGCACGGGTGCAGTGGGTGAAGTCCGTTTTGTGCCCTGTCGTGATATTGTTTAATGTTACAACAAGCTGTCTCAAGCGTCACTTCAACGATACGTTGTGCTCTGCTTTGTAAGGTTATGCAAGGCAAACAAGATACACGTATACCCATATTTGATTCACATACACCAAGAAGGAGTATATAGGTAGGCTAAATGACTTGAGATCGTAATCTTAAGATCGTAATTTCTGAGACATGCGATTATCCCATATATCTTTGCATATAATACATCCCACTAATATGTTAGCGTCCTGAGAATACCCGGGGGATCCGGGCGTCCAGCAAGCTATAGATCGGATGGAAAGGCCCTGGGACTTGGTTGAAGGCATGTCATCAACAGAACGGTCACTGGTGTCTTGTCGGTTGGCTGAAACTGGGTATTGGAAGGCTGGAAGCTGCTTATCGGGAGGCTGAAACTGGGTATTGGAAGGCTGGAAGCTGCTTATCGGGAGGCTGAAACTTGGTATTGGAAGGCTGGAAGCTGCTTACCGGGAGGCTGAAACTTGGTATTGGAAGGCTGGAAGCTGCTTACCGGGAGGCTGAAACTGGGTATTGGAAGGCTGGAAGCTGCTTATCGGGAGGCTGAAACTGGGTATTGGAAGGCTGGGAGATTCTTATCGGTAGGCTGAAACTGGGTATCGCTAGGCTGAAACTGGGTATTGGGAGGCTAAACCTGGGTATTGGGAGGCTGAAACTGGGTATTGGGAGGCTGAACCTGGGTATTGGGAGGCTGAAACTGGGTATCGGGAGGCTGAAACTAGGTATTGGAAGGCTGGAAGCTGGTTATCGGAGGCTGAAACTGGGTATTGGGAGGCTGAAACTGGGTATCGGGAGGCTGAAACTGGGTATTGGGAGGCTGAAACTGGGTATTGGGAGGCTGAAACTGGGTGCTGGAAGGCTAAACTTAGGTATTGGGAGGCTGAAACTGGGTATCAGGAGGCTGAACCTGGGTATTGGAAGGCTGAAACTGGGTATTGGGAGGCTGAAACTGGGTATCGGGAGGCTGAAACTGGGTATCGGGAGGCTGAAACTGGGTATTGGGAGGCTGAACCTGGGTATTGGGAGGCTGAAACTGGGTATTGGGAGGCTGAACCTGGGTATTGGGAGGCTGAACCTGGGTATTGGGAGGCTGAAACTGGGTATCGGGAGGCTGAAACTGGGTATCGGGAGGCTGAAACTGGGTATTGGGAGGCTGAAACTGGGTATTGGGAGGCTGAACCTGGGTATTGGGAGGCTGAAACTGGGTATCGGGAGGCTGGACCTGGGTATTAGGAGGCTGAAACTGGGTATTGGGAGGCTGAAACTGGGTATCGGGAGGCTGAAACTGGGTATTGGGAGGCTGAACCTGGGTATTGGGAGGCTGAAACTGGGTATTGGAAGGCTAAACTTAGGTATTGGGAGGCTGAAACTGGGTATCAGGAGGCTGAACCTGGGTATTGGGAGGCTGAAACTGGGTATCGGGAGGCTGAAACTGGGTATTGGCAGGCTGCCCATCTGACTGCACGTCACGGTACCCCGACGGAGTGGATTATTTATGATATGTACAGGCCTCAGTGATACAGCTGGGATACTGCTTTATAAAGCCTAAAACAGCTCTCTCACTCACGCTTCCATATCACTCACTCCAGGAAAAGTCCTATGTGACTATGAAAACCTTCATATCGATTTGTCTTATGTGTGTGGATTAAACATGGCTATAATACAGGCCTATTTTGTTTGTATTTTTGATGTCCGACATTGGTTGTTATTGTCGTTATCGACTGAGACGGCCGTGTGGTTTGACGCCGAAACAAGGGCAACATTCAACACAGTTAGTTAATACTTCAATAGTTTATGACTAGGTATGAGCTGTGGTTTGACGCCGAAACAAGGGCGGATTTCAACACAGTTAGTTAATACTTGAATAGTTTATGACTAGGTATGAGCTGAGGTTTGACGCCGAAACAAGGGCAACCTTCAACACAGTTAGTTAATACTTCAATTATATAGTTTATGACTAGGTATGAGCTGTGTTTTGACGCCGAAACAAGGGCAACCTTCAACACAGTTAGTTAATACTTGAATAGTTTATGACTAGGTATGAGCTGAGGAGATGGCAACCTTCTAATACCCTCACTCTTCACTGCCACCATGACATTGTCGGTACTGACACGGCGGCGCTTACCTAGCAATCAAGATATAAACATAAACCCCTTGAACAGCGCTCGGTTGATGGGGGTTATCGGTCATGATTAAGCCTGTATTACGGCAGAACATCGTCTACAAACCTCTATTCTGTACAGACACAATGACAGAGCATGTACCACTAATGCGTTGATTGATAACGCCTCCCTCGACAGATGACGTCATATAATGTGCAGATATATAGGGAAAGCGAGTTGGTTGTGTTATCTGTGTTACACCAGAGATAAAACACCTTTGCTTAGATATCACCTGCTGAATAAGATTTTTAATTGCAGATGCATATACTCTTGTAAAATTATCATTGGCTAATGTGGCGAGTGTTACGTTGTCATTACAAGGTATAAAACTGCCAAAGTCAGCGGTGAAAGGTCGTTCTGTGGATTTAACTGACTGTTTCGAAGCATATTCATGTTTTTATTCAGTATCGTTATATTCACTTGTGCTACAAGAACACGTACAATATTGTACAATACATCAAGAGCATCATGCACTCTTGTACATGTATCAAGAGCATCATGCACTCTTGTACAATACATCAAGAGCATCATGCACTCTTGTACATGCATCAAGAGCATCATGCACTCTTGTACAATACATCAAGAGCATCATGCACTCTTGTACAATACATCAAGAGCATCATGCACTCTTGTACAATACATCAAGAG